TCCAGTAAAATCTGGAGGTGGGATAGGGACTACTGGTGTAGGTTTAGTTGAATCAATAGTAACTAATGCAACTGCTTTCGTTGGTAAATTTGAAGATAGTACAGAAACTATTAGGGTCAATGCAAAGAAATATAATAATGTAAACTTCATTTTTGTTTATTTTAATATTTAACACCTCTCAATATTGAACTATTTATATCTTTTATCTTAGAGTAATACTCCAAGTAATGTTTTTGAGATAAACATAACTTTAAGGAATGTTAAATTTGATTTTATTATTATTTGTTATGACATAAACAGGTTTATTTCCAGTATCTGGAATATGGATTCGAAGAAAAATATTTTGATATCCTTTTCAAGCTAATGATAAATATAGTATTTCAAAATTTTATTTATTCAATTACTTAATTCGAAAATATTTTATTCGTTTAGAGTTTCAAACCATAAACTGAATTTTTTCATAGCTTCATATACAAAGTTATTTGTAAATTAATACATTAATTTAATATTATTTTGGTTTTAAGCCTAATTTTACAAGGCATTTATTGATTAATATACCCCTTTTGGTTTTATTTTATAGTTAATTTATAGATCAAAAAAAGCAGTAATAGGCTTGGGTCCACAACACTTTTACTTTTAAGGTTTTTATAAATCAAACAGTATCACGTAAAACCAGGTTTAAATTGAGATCATAGATAGAATGTTGAATTTTCAAAACCAAATAATAGAATTTTTATAAACTCGCTAATACCATCAAAAACGTGACTTTTGTCTTAAGCTTTGGGTCATAAAACTGTTGTTATTTGGTATGGTAACATTGTTTTATCAGTTTTGAATGCATACTTTAAATTTATTTACTTTCTTATTCTATAATGTTAATGTAATTAACATTATACTTTTAACATATAAAGAAGTAGCTACTGCTTTCATTTACGTAATTAGGGGTACTTATTGAAAATAAAAAACTTGTCGATTTTGAAATAATATACAATTAAATTCAACTAAAAATAAAGGTTTATTATATTTAAAACCATAATCAATGTAGCATATCAAATAATTGACGTTTTGAGCCATATTTGTATAATTCAAACATTAAGGTCTCAAACTTGATAAAATTTGATAAAATTTAATTTATTCTATATAATAGATAACCTATATATATTGTATATGGTTCAAAGAACTTAATGAGAGTCATATATATTAAAGCGATATTAATATATTTATGCTACTAAGCTATTGGTTATGATGATAGAATGTAAAGTTTTATTATGAGATAAGTTTATAAGATTTATTGATTCAACTACAAGTAAAAGTTGATATAAAATATATGATTTTGAGTGTAATGAAGTAACGAAATTCCTTTTAGAAAAGAAACCAAGCAAAATGGTTGGTATAATGCTCAAAATAAGAATGATACTATGACCAAGTATAAATATACAATGTTATCTAGACATTTTTTAATTAGCTATATAAGTTAAGCCTAGTTTATGTATTTATGTTCTATAACGATATAATTTATAGATATTAGAATTTCTATCTCAAAAAAATAAATCTCGCCTTATTTCAGTAACATATTTTTGGAATTTTTGGAATATTTTTGTAAGACCTTATAATATTAAATCATTGATTTGAGTACTTGATTATCATTTTATTAATCAAAATAAATTCAATTGAAGTATCCCTAGACATCCACAGGTGGCTATTACCATTATTAAAGGGTACATGAAATTGGTAAGTATGTAAAATAAAATAAGATGAACCTCATGTTAGCTTATTTATTATCTAAATAAGAGTAAAGCGAAAAAATGGAGTTTAACCTGAATTATTTCAGCATGTTTATTATTTAATTATCATATATCTTTATGTACAATATTACAATCTTCTCAGTTTTTTTACTTCTGCTTTTTGCAAAAGTCCTTTCTAGCTACCTTTAGATAAATGTATCAACGCTATCAAATAAATTAAAATGCAAGTAAAGTGACCAATTTATATAAAATAATACAACAGTTTATTATAATTATAATTTAAGGGTCATATTAAAACTTTATAATTATTTATTTTTTAAGTGCCATATGATTTATCAAATGATCATAATACTAAAAAAGGTAAGAGGAAATTTATTAATTTTACTGCTTATTATCTTTGTTAAAAAATATCTAAATATCCAATATTTACATTTATTTCTGCTTACTTATGATGGCGTTATTTATTTCAACGCCACTATTTAATATCATAGTAACATTTATATAGCATCAGTAAAAAGAATATGAATTTTAGACTCAGATTATGTATTTGGTAAACTATAATAGAGTCACAAGTATTATTGAAAAGTGTTAATGAATGAAATTTTTTAATAAATTCAACAAAACCATTTTATTGATAAGTTTACAATTTACGAACTAAAACTATTGATCAAAAGCTCCTTAAAGAATTAAATATTAATAAAGCGTATAAAACTTTAATGTGCACAATAAAAACAGATCAATTAAAATATTGAATAATTTTATTTAATAACAAGACTTATAAACTTTTTGAAATAGGATTATAGTGTAAATATTGATATATGAGAAGTTGTAATAATTGAAACAAATGAAAAGGACAAAAATCGATTAAGGGTAGGTATCAATATCAGTAGTTACTACTTTAACTTCAACAACTGGAGTAGGACCTGAATTACCATCTTCAACTGGATGGGCTGCCCCGGTTGGTTTAGAATAACCATAAGTTTTGGTAGAGAGAGTAGTAAGGATAATCAAGGAAGTATAAATCAAAAATTTCATTTTTATGAGGATTGTATTTGTATTAAAGATATAAGACTTTATCGTTCTTTATATACCTTTCCATTTAGTATAAGAATAAAAACTATAATATTAAAGAAATTAGATAATAATAAATGCGAAAAAAAACTCAATATCAAAGTAAGAATAGAATTAATAAAATTAAGGTTATAGCTTATAGATAAAGTATTACAACTTCAACATAAAGAAAGCAATTCATAACATACCAAAAGAACTATCAATAGTTGTTTTAAAGCGAAAAGCTTTACAAATTCTTATGTTATAAACTGGTTTCTATTTTATTAATAATTTATTATCGCCTTTTTTTATTAATAACAATTAACTATTAGAAACTTACTTATTTTAATTGTCTATAATCATATTAAAATTACCATACCATAAATGGATGGCATTTCCTTAATTTATCTAAGTGAATTTTTTTAGTCACTACAAACGTGAGTAGAAAGTGGGCGTTTCCAAGCCTACATCAATTTTTATTTTATAAATAAAACGAAACTTTACCATACATTGTATTTTACATGATTTTAAACAATTTAAGACTTCAACACGTTTTCTTAATGTATAAAATCTAGAAGTTACTCTAAAAGGAAGCAAAAAGCCTTAACATTATATTAACATTATCTATCTTTCAGAAAAAGTGCGTATGAAATAATGTTTATCACCTTAGTAATAGGAGAGTGGAAAAGGCAAGGCCACGATGTGTTATGATTAAATTCTTATTAATTATTAAAACTTAATTAAAAACAAAATATTGTGGCTACAAAATTATATGATTCACAGTTCTAAACTTCTAAAGAAAAATTTAAAGTTTATATTTATATTTTTTGTATTTTTTATAAATAGAATAATCCCTATCAGGTATTATGGTAAACGTCATAAACTAATCGCTATATTTAAGTAAATTGAATTGTTTATCCAAAGGTATGATAAAATCAAATAATTTGAGGTTTATTATAGTGTCTAATGGAGATTATTAGATTAACAGGATAGTATAATATAATATAAAAGTATGATTATAAAGATATATGGTTCACAGTTTCTAACTCTTGAAAAAAATACAATTTTTTTATCAATTTTTTTACTTTTATTTTATAAGCAGAATAAACCTTATCAGTAATTATTGCTAGTGTCACAAACTAATCACTTTACTTAAATAAATTAAAGTATCTATATAAATGGTATAACAAAATTGAGTATAACATGACAGTCACTTTAGTGTCTGATAGGGTTTGTTCTATATAAAATAAAATTAAAAAATTTAATACAACATCATGATTACGAACCTATATAATTCCAATTTTAAATCTTGAAAGAGTCTAAAGTTTATATTAGTTACTTTTATTTTATTTTATTTTATTTTATTTTATTTTATTTTATTTTATTTTATTTTATTTTATTTTATTTTATTTTATTTTATTTTACTTTATTTTACTTTATTTTATTTTTATTTTATTTTATTTTCAAAATGTGGTAACTTCCATCAGACACTGTAATAACCATTACAATATAAGCAAGTTTATTGGCCATTTATATAAATATTTTGATTTATTTAAACAGGTTAATTCATTTTGATAAGATTGGTTTTTGTAAAGATTAAGATAGATTATAACAAAGCAGCCCTGTCACGATTGATGTCCCTAGGGCAGTACCCGCCTTTTCATTGAGACCCCCGCTATTAATTATATTTCACTTATTTAGATCTTTCATGTATTTTTATATATTTTATAGTGTAGAATCTTTAGTTTGATCCCTTTATTAAAATTATTTTATTTAATATCGCTTATTCAAAATAGTTTGTATATATATATATTCTTGTGCATTTAAAAATCACTTTCAATATACTCAAAAATTATCGTGAAGGTTTATTATTATTTTCAAGACTTTTTAATTATTTATCTATTTATTGTTTTTAGTATTATCTATTGATATTTATAAATAACATAAAAAAGATTAAAAAAGAAATAAGATAACATAAATATCCTAAAGCTGAATCATATGTACAGGCTGATTCACTGTAAGTATTGTGTAATACTAAGTTGGTGTTTCTAAAAAAATAAAGTTATTAATAAAATTAGAAACTTTTTTCTATTATTCCATCCTACTTTTATAAACTTTATTACCTAGCATTAATTATTTGATGTAAACAATAGCAATCAAAAATTTTATGACTATATACTAATTTAAATTTAAATTAAACAGAAGCTCACCTTAGCTCAGTTGGAAGAGCGATGGACTGTAAATCAAATAGCAATCCATCGGTCCCTGGTTCGATCCCGGGAGGTGAGAGTATCCCATACTTGATAGGAAATGTTCAAATTGGTTTAATTTTTTTGTTATAATTTATACTGTAAGTTGATTGCTTTATAGCTACCATTGCAAATTTGTCATTAAATATATAATTTTAATGTTATAACTATATATTACTAGGCTAACTACTCGTTTTTATCCATCTATCTGTTAATTATTTTTATATAACATAAGTAATATAATAATAGCTTTTATTCATTTTTATAACTAATTGCTTTTCAATCATTTACCAATCTGGTTACTAACAATTTTTTTGCTCAAATAGTGCTTAAAAGATAGAAAAAGTGATGAAGTCAAAAAAACACCTCAGATAACAGTATGATTTGTTATTATATTTAACAAAACAAAAATACTTTTTAATACTTTATATTATTATTGTTTTTATATTTCTGTTTTTTATTACGTTCATGAATAAAAATCTTAAATTTTGAAATTAATTAATTAATATTTTCTATTTTATCTGATGTTTTAAAACTATTATTTTATTGTGAAGATTTTTAAAACATTATCGATTATATTTTTATAGTACTTACCAAAAGAACCAAAGTTATTATTTAAATTATTATTTGTTAATTTTTGTAAACTTTTTGAGTAAAAGCTTTAAGTATTTTGTAACTTAATATTTCAGACAAATAATCAAACTAAACTTTGCTTATTATTTTATTATTTTTTAAATACAAAATGGGGGATGTTTTTTTTAGTTTCATTACTTTCCTACTTTTTAAGCCCTATTTGAGCGGAAAATGTGAAATATCGCTGTCAGCCCCATGGTTAATTATAGCATAATAATCTAAATTTATTAAATCTAGTCTTATTTTTATTATTGTATTTCATTTAAAATTTAAAATCAAAATTTATTTTTTATTATTTATTTTTTGTTACTGTGTTTATATTTTTAGATTATTTTTTTTAAATTATGTATTAGGCACATATATTATATAAATCTGTTTTTTTTGCTGTATTTTCTAAATTTAATCATATATTAAAGACCTATAAATTTAAAAACTTAAAATTTAGATCAACTTTTAAGAAAATTATGAAATCAATTAGAGCATCCCCATATCTTTTTTATATGATCCGATTCAGTAGAACTCAATATAAATTTTCGTTTTGAATAAATGATCAGATAAAATGAATTTTATTATCATAAATTTACTAGTTTAATATTTAGCTATTCTAGCCAAGATGACGCTTTCAACCTATTGTCAACTTAAATTTAGTATAGCCAATCAATCCTTTTTTCAACTATTGAAAAAATAGCTAATTCTAAATTCTAAGCTTCTATTAACTTTAAGCAAGCTTTCAAGAAAATATAAAAGGATGAATAACCCCAACCTCTACAATCAAGGGTACGGAAACGAACGATATATGCAAGGATACATGCAAGTACCACCAGGAACAAATAATGTTGCCAATAATCCTAATTTAGGCAACAATGGCGTACCACCAGGGCATTATGGTATGGTCCAAAACAATGAAGCTTATTATTATAATTCTATGCAAGGACAGAACCTTCCTTATATACATCCACAATTACAAAATATGCCTATATCGCAAGTAAATCCAATTTCCATGTTAAATCAACATGCACAACAAATGCAAAGTAATAATATGTATCAGCATGGGGGTAATATTTCTAATTTAAACCCAAAGAACAAAGTATTAGATATGGAAACCTTATTTTCAGCGGTTAATATGTTATTGGACCCAGCTACTTGTAAATTAGCTGTTCCCCAATTATTAGAATATAGAGAAGATTATGATATTTTAGGTCCAATGGTTTGGTACTCTTTTGGGGCAATGTCGGTCCTAATGCAAGAGATTTTTAAAGCTTATCCTAACTGTTATGGTTCTACATTGGGTAATGAACAGTCAGTCCATATTGGCCATGTGTTAACGTTGCTTCAGGTGATTGCTACCTGTGAAAGAATTAGACCTTTATTTGTTACTTGTAAGTAGACGTTTCAATTGGTTTTAGCTTTGAAATTGAATTTAATTTTTTCTAGCTGCCATCCCTCATTTTTTATTACCCTTTTTAACAATACCGAATAAATTACAACCCATTGAGCATATTCGTACAAGCACCCTTGGTGTGTTTGGGGCTTTAGTTAAGGTAAAGTTATTTTCATTTATTAAATGATGTATGTTATTTATAGTTTTATAACTTTAACTTAGTGTGATGATTTAAAAATAGTTGAGGTCTTAATCAAAATGGATTTTTTACCTATTGTATTAAAATTAATTGAAACTAAAAGTTATGGAGCGGATTTAACAAAGACGGTAACTATTTATTTTTTATCTGTATTATAATCTTATTTGTGGTTTATATAATTTGTATTTTAGATTGGTCTTTTTATCTTAGGGAAATTACTAAATCATAAAACAGTGTTCGATTTAGTACTCAACTCCCAAGAATATTATTATTTTACAATATCAGGATTATTAGCAGCTACTTCATTTTTAAAAAATGAAAAGTCCTTTAGATTATATAAACAATTATTAAAAGTATACATCAAATTATGTGAAAGTGCTTAGTAAGCCTTAATTTTATATATATTGAAGGATAATGTACTAATGAATTTTTTTAGTGTTAGAAAATACCTTCAACTTCACTTACCAGAATGTTTAAGAGATAATACATTTAGTGAATATTATGAGGAAGATGAATCTACAAGAAATCAAGTACAAAATTTACTTCACCTTATTAATAGCGAGAAATAAGAAAAAGAATGATGATTTTTTTAAATTGTTGATGACGCTTAATGAGTTCGTTTAAAGTTTATTGTCTACCTTCTTTTCTTTCTCTATTTCCCAATTTTCTTCTTTTTAATATTAATCTACTTTTCTATAACTTAGATTTTTTAAAAGCGTTTACTATTGCACTTTTAATAAAAAGTAATTTTTTATTTTCTTATGTGGAAAAGTTTAATCAACTTTCTATTATACTATAAAGGCATTACAATTATATATTAAAAGGTAATAATAATAAATATATTTAAATCAACGATTTGATGTAAAGACTAAATATAGTGTTGTTTTTATTAATATGTACTAATTTATAAATGTATCAAATAAAATAAGAACACAAAACTACGAGATGATCAAAGTGGATTTATTAATTAGATATACTAAAGTAATTAGATTATCGATTGTGCTTATATAACAGATAAAGAAAATAATAAAATACACTTTAAGTCATTTATAGAAAGTATTAAAAAAGGTATCCTATAAAAATAGTTCAATTGAAATAAACAAGGTTTCGTAAATTATATAATAATATTGAATCAATTGTTTCATTCAAAACACGAATTATAGATATTAATGACAATAATAGAAATCATAAAAAAACACATAAATTAGATCGTTTCATCTCAATTTAATCTACTTTTAATAAATAGCTTCAAACATAATCTGCATCACCATAATCTTTCATCAAAAACTTATTTTTTAGGTTCTCTTACAATTTGAAATTTATCATGTTCATTTAATACTTTTTGTTGTTTACCATTAATAACTAACAAAATAAAAATTCATTAGTTAAAACCATTCTTTGACAAAATTAATAAATTGAATTTACTTCGTTGATAAAGTTCATAAGAGGTTACCATTACTAAAGGTGTAACAACAATAATTGTCAACCATCTATATAAATTAAGGGTTTTATTATATTGGAGTGGATAAAAGGTTGTGAGATAAATTACGCTTTGCCTTGTTTTCCTAATGAAGTGATACCAAAGTTGGTCATTTTATAATAATAATAATTATAATTAAAAATTAAATCAAGTTTATCTTAATCTTAAGTTTAATTAATCATCAAAGTTCATTTTAATTGGTTTAACTGGAAATTTAAAAACTAGATATCTTCAATATTAAAAAACGTTATAAATATAATTAATCTTTATTAAAAATCATTTTCCTATAAAACTTTAACTCTTCAATACTTTCCAAGATATCATCTAAAGCTCTGTGATTTAATTTTTTCTTTGGTGCCATAGCAGATTTTTCTGGTAGCCATCGACTAGTTAATTCCTTAACAACACTAACATCTAAATAAATATGTATATTAAAAATCCTATCATGAAAAAAGATATTCAAAGTCTCTATAACTAGTTTACCTATGATCCTATAATGTAAAAAGTCAATAATCTTTGGCATATATTTAATTAAAAAAAATTTATCCATATGAACTGAATTTCCTGCTAATAAAGCAACTTTCTCTTTTTTAATATGCTTCTTCAGAAACTCTGTAATAACTTCCTCAGCTTTAGCTTCTGTAATAGTAGATTGTAATACTTTCTCTGTTAATCCAGATTCTTTATGATGTGTGGTACACCATTCGTCCATGTTATCTAATAAAGATTTTTCTTGTTTGATGATCAAATTTGGCCCTTCGATAGTTTGAGTTAAATTATCATCTGTTATAATAACACTTATTTCTAATAATTTATCTGTTTCAATATTTAATCCACTCATCTCACAATCAATCCATACTAAAGGGTCATTGATTTCCGTCATTTTTCAAAAAAGTCAATTTTTCAGTTTTATTATGGATTTTTAAGCAAAAATTTAAGTTAGCACTTTTTAGTTTGAACTAAAAATCTTATTTCAATACTAAAATGTAAACATTGCCATTCTGTTTTATTTTGCCTATTATCTTTTTTTAGTATATGGGAGTGTTTTTGACTTCATTATTTTTTCCATTTTTTAAGCGCTATTTAAGCGGAAAATTTGCTAGTAAAATTTTTAAACACAAAAATACATCCCCATATTATTATTCAAAACTTCACGTATTTATATCAATAAAAATAATCAATGTCCTATACATTAACATTTAATATCTATAATATTACTTCCTATTAGCTAAAAGTTTTAAACCATTCTTTACTAATGTATGAAAAAGCACTAAAAAATCTTCCAACCAATTAAATTAATAAAACTTCAAAGACATTCCCTTTAAACGAATCAAATTATGGGACTAG